CGACTTGAAGGACGCTCACTTTCACGTCTCTATAATCCCATCACACAGACGTTTTCTGTGATTTGTTCATGGGCCTCCCCTTCGGCCTGTTGGCGGCCCCTCGGGGGTTCACCAAGTGCACGTTGGTCGCGGCAGCCTTCCTTCAAAAGCATCAGGTGCAAGTCTTCCCATACCTGGATGACTGGCTCATCAAGGGCTGGTGCCGAGCCCAGGTGGAGGAACACGTGAACCTGGTGCGTGCGACGTTCCTCAGACTCGGTCTCATCCTCAATGTGGCGAAGTCGACCTTAATCCCCACTCAGAGAATAGAATTCATCAGGGCCCCCTTGGACTCTGCTCAGGCCAGGTCGTTCCTGCACGAGTCTCGTTTTCTAGCCACGAGGGCCAGCATAGAAGGTCTCCACCGGCTCCCCACCATGACGGCCAGAAATGACCTACAATTGCTCAGACATATGGCAGCTCACACCTGCGTGGTGCAGCGTGCAAGGCTGCGGCTCCGTCCCCTGCAGGCGTGGCTGCCCCATGTGCACAGGCAGGACCAGGGCCATCCAGGCAGATTGGTCACGCTCACTCCTCGGGTTCTCGAGTCCCTCCGGTGGTGGATCGATTCACAAGCAGCCTGTGCAGGAACATCTGTCTCCAAACCCCAGCTGTCGCCGTCGCTGGTCACGGACGCGTCGGCGCTGGGGTGGGGAGCGCACATGGGCAACCTCAGGGTCTATGGTCCCCGGCGGAACGATCGCTGCACGTCCATGTCAGGGACGTACGGGCGGCGCGTCTCGCTTGCCAGACGTTTCGGGCCCAGCTCCAGGGCAGATGTGTATCGGTGCTGACAGACAACACCACAGCAATGTTCTATATAAACGGACAAGGTGGTGCCCGCTCCTCTCCCCTGAGCCAGGAAGCCCTCGGGCTGTGGGACTTTTGGATCGCCCACTCGATAAGCTGGAGGCGTTGTATCTGCCGGGCTCTCAAAACAAACTGGCCAATCGCCTCAGCAGGTCCTTTCATGGCCACGCGTGGTCTCTCCGCCCAGACGTCGTCAGCAATATCTTCCAGAGGTGGGGCGCTCCCCAGATCAATCCGTTCACGACACGGAGCAACAGGCAGTGCCAGCAGTTCTGCTCCTTCCTGAACCACAGCCGGGCTCGATCCCGGACGCCTTTCTCCTCTCGTGGACGGGCCACTGTCACGGACTCACAGGTCGGGCCCACTCTTGGCCCCGTACGGTCCGTGGGGGGGTGCCCCTTCCAGTGAGACAGCCCTTCTCGGGGGTCCACTCTCTCCCGGGGTCAGGCCCCTCCACCTCCTGGAGCCGCACCTCTCTGAGCCTTAGCACGTCTGTCTCTGCCGTGGGCCCCCTCAGGGAATCCCCTCACTCGGGCCCCCCCGGCCCTTCACCCCCGAAGGGACGATGCCCCCCCCCCCGCCCTGTTCTCTAGCCTGGAGTGACTCTCAGCCAGCGTAAAACAGGAGGGTTTATTGAGAGTTGAACCCAGCACTAGAAACTCTCAGGGCCTCAGGCCTGGCCTCCCTCAGCCTGGCACATCCCAGTCTCTCTGCATCCAGGGGGCTCTGCCTGCTGCCCCTCTTCAACCCAGAGCCCCCCTGCTCCCCAGCTGGGCATCTGATACCCCCGGCCCCAAGCCCCACCTCTGTCCATTGTCCTCTCTCCAGGGAAACAGGGTTGTAAACCGGGGCCTCCTCTCCTCGCTTCTGTCCTCTGGCCCCTCTGGCTGGAACCGGCTGGTCAGGTCACTGGGGTCCCCTCTCCCCGCAGCCCATTGTCCTCCCACTGGCTAGAACCGGCTGCGACTCCTGAGCTGGGTCTCCGGGTCACCAGGTCACCAGTCGCTGGGGTATCCGTCCTCCAGGCCATCGGCTGGGGTCCCAAGTTCCCTCTCTGGTCCGCTGTAACAACAAACTTCCTCTCCCCTCCCCTCGTTAAACCAGTAACCCCCAGGGAAACTGAGTCCCACCCCCTCAGCACACAAACTACTGGAAAAACAAGGAAAAAACAAGAAAATCCCCCACTTTCTCACAGCCCGTTTTTCCCTTTCTGCGCCGCGAGCGTGTGTCCTGGGATCTCCGATTCAGCAAGTACCGGGACCCAGCTCCAGCCTGGGGCGTGTCCACCCAGCTGTGACAGGAGCTGTGGGAGCACGAATAGAGAGCCAGAGTCATGCCAAGGAGAGCCTGGTGCATGCTGGGAGGCCTCACAGAAAACCCTGAAAATGTGACCCAGATATAAGCAGCGCTGCCTGAGTCTGCAGAGAGCCTGAGCCAATCGCTCTGGGAGAGCCAACAGCTGCCCCATCCCTGTCGCTGTGATGTTAACTCTGGCCTCTACTGACAACAGGGCCGTGCTGTTAAGACTTTGGTTTCTGGTGACTTGGGAACATCCAGCCAATGGATCAACCTCCCAGCTCTGCCCCACCCCCAATTCCCAGCTGCGGGCGGTGCAGAGAACGGGCAGGAAATGCTGCAATCGACTGGTTCAGCAATACCCGGTGGGAGGGGCCGAGGGTAACCGGCAGGAGCGGGTGGGGGGGGCGGTGAAGGAGCGTGAGACCCAGTGACAGACACCCCCAGGAAGTGGCAGAGTCACCTCCCCCCCACCAGGACTGCACATACACACACACACACCGTTCCCTAGCAGCCGAAGGGGAAGTGGGCGGGTGTGGCTGGGAGGGGACAGTCTCAGCCAGGAGGGGTCCTGTGGGGCTGCCCTGCCTGTGGGTCCAGGCTCACAGCACAGACACCCCCCCCACACTGGATGGAGATGGGTCCTGGGTGCTGGAACTAGGGGGCTGCCGCACCCCCTGGCCGGACGTGGTTTCCATCATACGCAGGGTTTGCAGTTCGGTTCAATGGCTCTCAGCCCCCCACTGTCCATATGGCTCCAGCGCCCCTGGGTCCTGCTGCAGCGAAGGACAAAGCCCAGAGGGTCCCAGCCCAGGGGTGCAAATCAGGCCTGGCCCAGCGGGGCCGCCCCCCCGCTCACCAGGAGGGGGGCAGAGAGCTCCATCCCGGGGCAGCCCCTGTCCGGCTGAGCCCTGCGGGGGGCTGGGCCGTCCTTCGCCAGCAGGGGGCAGCAGCGAGTGCCCAACCCGGCCGGGCTCCGGGCCAGAGGCACCCGGGTCCCCTTAGCCCTGCTGGGGCCGGATTGCGCCGGGGGCTCCCACGGTCTGGCTGCTTCGCGTGTGGGGCCTTTGTTCCCACTCTGCTCCCCCTGCACCACTGGGCTGCGCCGTGTGACGGTTCCCGGGGTGCCGGCCTCACAGGCCCCTCGCGACCCCCTGCCCCACTGTGAGGAGCCTCGTCTGGCCCTGCTGAGGGTCAGACCCCCGATCCCCCTCCGCAGGCAGCACAACCCCCCCTCAGCCCTCGACAGGTCAGCGATCGCCCCCCCAATCACCCAGTATCCCCCTGGGCGCCCAGCCCCTGGTGCTGCCACTGGCCGAGTTCCCAGCTCCCCCCCAAGGCCCAGAACCCCCAGCTGAGCAGTGACCCCTCCCCCAGCCAGCGCCCCGCTCAGCCCCGGCACGGCCAGGCGTTACAGGGAAAACCAGGCTGAGTGTATGGACCAGCCAGAGCCCAGAGCTGGGAGAAGGAGCCGCCGGAGGCTCCTGTTATTTACTCCTCATAACACAAGAACTAGGGGTCAGCAAATGAAATTAATTCACAAAACGCACAGTCAACCCGTGGAACTCCTTGCCAGAGGATGTTGTGAAGGCCAAGACTATAACAGGGTTCAGAAAAGAACTAGATAAGTTCATGGAGGATAGGTCCATCAATGGCTATTAGCCAGGATGGGCAGGGATGGTGTCCCTAGCCTCTGTTTGCCAGAAGCTGGGAATGGGTGACAGGGGATGGATCACTGGATGTTACCTGTTCTGTTCATTCCCTCTGGGGCACCTGGCACTGGCCACTGTCGGCAGACAGGACACTGGGCTAGATGGACCCTTGTCTGACCCAGTATCACCGTTCTTATGGAGTTAATGGGACAATGGGTGACATGGGGAATAAAATGGGAACGAGATTCCCAGAGCCCCGACATCCTGAACCCACCCCTGGCAGCTCCTGTGGGGTTCAGCGCCCCCAGAGCCAGGCACAGAGAGAACGGCCTGGTGCCTCCTGTCTGTCAGGGATGGGCCTGGAGCCTCCCGCTGCCCCGCTGGAACCAGCCCCTGAGACTCAGGCCAGACACAGCTCCGGACCTGCCCCCGGCACACGGCTCACCACGGTCACCGCGCCCAGCGCTGCCAGCTCTGGGCAGGGACCTCCCGAGCCCCTTTGGGGGCTGGTCTGGAGACGTCAGAGCTGGGGGACCCGCGAGTCCCTCGGTGCCCTGTGCCCTCCGCCAAGGGCCCCGGGTCCCGGCCGGGTGGGTCGGATTCGCTGCTCACAGCTCTGCAGGGGAGAACTGCCCCGGGGAGGGGAAGACGCGGGGCCGGGCGCTGGGGGGAGGGTGGGGGGAGAAGCCCTGGGCAGGGTCCCCTGGCCCTGGTTTGGGCACCAGCCGGGCACTGGGGAGACCCGGGTCTGAGTCCCTGCAGCCCCACAGACTCCCTGTGGGACCCGGCCGGTCACAGAGCCGCCCGGGTCCCTCCGTGCAGTGGGGAGCTCCCGCGGCCTGGTGTGGGACACAGAGCGCCAGGCTCAGGTCAGGCGGGCAGAGAACAGGGCAGGTGCCCAGGCTGGGGGTGTTTGGTCGTGAGATGTCACCAAGCCAAATCCTGTGCTGGGCACAACGGAGCCGGAGCCAGTCACAGGCGCCGACTTTCTGGTTTCCTCGCAGGGGCCCAGATGCTGCGGTGATGGTCCCCAGGGAAGCAGCATGGACAGACGGATGGACGGACCCCCCGGGCCGGGCGGTGACTGTTCCTGCCCTCTATCGCTTCATCGACGGGACGTCCCCGGGGCAGCGGGACCCAGGCTAAGGCTTTCCCAGCATGCACCGGGCCCCTCCCAGCATGCCCCGGGGGCAGGAGGGGGCGTCACTTCTTCAGCTCCTCGTACACGTCCGGCTGTCGGGGCTGCAGCGTCTGGGGGAAACGGGGACGATTCAGCCAGAGACGCCCCAGGGGAGCCCCTGCAGGGCTCAGCCCCCCATGTCCCCCATGGGGCCACAACAGCCACTCCCACCTCAGGGGCCTAACGGCTCCTCCCATCCTGGGGGGCCCATCCCTCCCCCCCGGCTGGTCCCCCCCAGCCCCTCCCCTCAGCCCTGGGGCTCCCGGCTGGTCCCCCTCTGGCTCACTCTGCACCCCCCAGCTCTGGGATGTGATAACCAGCCCCGTTCTCAGCCATAGGGCTTGGGGGGGGATCTCCCCCCTTCCCCCACTAGGTCCAACCCCCCCTCAGTGGGGAGGATACAGCGCAAGGGGCTGGTGCTCACCTGGTACGTGGGGCTGGGGTCAGGGGGGCTCCCGGGCTGGGCCTTCGGGAGGCAGAGGCAAGAGAGTCGTTAGCACCAGACCCCAGAGACCCCCCAGCCCCCCAGCCGAGCTCGGGGGGGGGGACCCTGGGACAGTCAATGAGACCTAGGGTTTGTGTAAGCCCCCCCCACCCCACCCAAAGGGGGCAGGGTAAACTGGCTGGGGGCTGCGGGTCAGGACTGAGTGTAGAACTGATGAATGAAATTGTTTTTAATTGTTCACTTTATTAATGTAACTTCATAGGTAAAGTTTTATGAATGAAACAACATTCATTCATAAAACCGGTTACCCCAAAACTGGCTAATTAACAATTAAAATGCTTGTTAAGAGCCACAGTTCAGCCAGCTGCCCTTGTAAGTTTCACTTTCAATCCAATTTCTGCTTAAATCACTGAAACTTTAACTGTTTCAAAATTCAGGTTTCAGAGTGGCAGCCGTGTTAGTCTGTGTCCGCAAAAAGAACAGGATTACTTGTGGCACCTTAGAGACTAACACATTTATTGTAGCATAAGCTTTCGTGGGCTAAAGCCCACTTCTTCGGATGCATAGACTGCAACACACAGAAAGAAGCTTATGCTCAAATAAATGTGTTAGTCTCTAAGGTGTAACTTCTGTTCACTGTTTGCCATATTGTAACTCAAACTCCATTTTAAAACGCTCACTCCACTTTATAAACTGGCTGCAACCTTCATTTTTGCAAACCCTGCTGTAATCTTATTAGTTTAGTTTAGATGTGTGAATGAGGTCTGCATGGATAATGGAATCAACCTCCAGCCCCAGCCTGATAAAGTGAAGTGCAAACACCAAGGGCTGAAGATGCAGACAACAGCCCTGACAAAGTGAGAAGAGTCCACCCTAAAAGAAAAGAACAAAGGTACAATAGAAGGAAGATCAAAGCCAGGTCCCAGGCTGAAAGTCACCTCTGCAATTGACGGGTGATCAATCACACCGACCCCAGAGGCAGCGTGACACAGCAAGACCTATAGACTCTGGATTAAAACTAAAGCCTACAAAAAGGATGGGGGAGATGGAAGACTTTGGAGGGTAACGTTCTGCTGCCAACATGGAAGGGCATCGGTGCGCCCGACAGAGACCCAGCTCGTCCTTGTGCCCGGCTTTCCCGGCCAGTTACCGCCACAAGCTACGATCCCAAGCTGCAAAATCAAGCCACGAACTCACGCTACGTTCAGGACTAGTAACTATCCAGCAGCTGCAGAACATCTGTGTGTGTGTGTGTGTGTGTGTGTGTGTGTGTGTGTGTGTGTAAAAGCATTAAGGTATTAGCTAGTGGTTATAGATCAAATTAAGCAACAGAGGGTCCTGTGGCACCTTTAAGACTAACCGAAGTATTGGAGCATAAGCTTTCGTGGGTGAATGCCCACTTCGTCAGACGCCACAATAGATCAAATTGTTATCATAATAAATGTGGCATCTTTGCCTTGCCCCCCGAAAAGATCCTGTGTAGTTTTGTCTGCATAACACGAGTGGCACCCGCAGAGGAGGGGGTGGGACTGGAATAGCAGGGGGTGGGGCTGAGCCCTTGTCACTCACCACTGGCCCCGCCCAGGCTGTAAGGGGCAGGTTCTCGTACACCAGGACGGGTGCCCCGTTCTTCTTGGGGGTCTTGTTCCGGAAGTGAGAGTCTGGGAGGAATCATCAGAGACGCTGGAATTGGGGTCCTGGTCCCAGCCCCCCCGCTCTAACCACTAGACCCCACTCCCCTCCCAGAGCCAAGGAGAGAACCCAGGAGTCCTGGCTTTCCCGGGGGGCAGGGCTGTTACTCACAGAGGAAATAGGCCCCGACTCCGACCAGCGCTGCCCCCGCTAGTGACCAGATGAGAATCCCAGCGACGGCCCCGGCAGAGAGAGCTGGACGAGGGGCATCTGAAGGAGAGATGGGGGGGGTTGGATCAGACGGTTCAGCCACAATCCCCCCACCCGGCTCCCTGCAGCCCAGCACCCCCTAGCGCCACACTGGGGCATTGGTGCCAGACCTGGGATCCCTGTGTCTGCAGCGCGTTGCTCCATCCCGGGGATTCACCCCCTCCCTGTCACCCACACAGCGACAGACCCCCAGGCAGTGCGGTTGGTGATGGGGTTGTGAGCCCGGCACTTGTACGTGCCCTGCTGAGCCCAGGTCGTGGGGTTAAAGGTCAAGATTATCCTGGTCTCGTTAGTGTCAGTGCCGTTGAGAACCCAGCGATAGCTCGGGGCTGGGACGGAGTCAGAGACACACGTCAGGTTCAGAGGGGACCTGAGGGTCAGAGCGATGGGTCCGGGCAGGTCTATCCTGGCAGAGTCTGGCCCATCTACACAGAGAGGGACAGGGTCAGGGGATGGATGGCGCCAGCGAGGGGTCCCTGTTTAACCAGCACCCTGCCCCACCCTAGACCCAGCTGCATCTCTGTGGCTGGGTGATGCCGGCAGGGCCAGGGGCAGCGCGGCCAGGGGACGGGGCTGCAGTTACTCACAGGCCACCATCACGGTGCTGGGCTCACTGCGTACGGAGCTGACGGGGTTCCCGACCTCGCACTGGTAGGTGCCGGCGTCTCCCCGGGTGACATTTGGCACCATGAGAGTCCGGTTTTCAGGGGACAGCCCCAGCCGCTCACTGGGCGCGAGGGACGCCCCGTCCCGGAGCCAGAGCACGGTGTCGGCGCTGGGGGAGCTGTTACACGTGAGGGTGAAGGTCCCGTTCTCCAGCACCTGGGTTTGGTCGGGCGTCACCGTGGGCCTGGGCAGCATTTCTGGGAACAGAGAGAGCGTCACTGGGGGGAGTGGCTGGATCCAACCTAACCCCCAGGGAAGCCCTCGCTGTACGGGGCTCCTACCCCACAGCCCTGTGGAGGATTCAGACCCAGGCGCCTGGCGGCAGTAGAGAGCTGTTATCCAGCTGCAAACTTCATTGGAGGGCTACACAGCTACATGGGAAAGAGTGGGGTTCTGGGAGCCAGGACTCCTGGGTTCTCTCCCCAGCTGGCGGGGGGAGGGGAGTCTGGTGGGTTAGAGAAGGGGGGGCTGGGAGCCAGGACTCCTGGGTTCTCTCCCCAGCTGGGGGAGGGGGGTCTGGTGGGTTAGAGAAGGGGGGGCTGGGAGCCAGGACTCCTGGGTTCTCTCCCCAGCTCGGGGAGGGGAGTGGGGGCTGGTGGGTTAGAGAAGGGGGTTCTGTCCCCAGCTCAGGGAGGGGAGGGGAGGGGGGGCTGGTGGGTTAGAGAAGGAAGGGCTGGGAGCCAGGACTCCTGGTTTCTCTCCGGGGAGGGCTGGGGAGTGGGGTCTGCGTGGGGAGGTCTGTGCAGCCGGCACAAGGGTTAATGCAGATTGTACCAACTGCCACAGCAGCTGCTGTTTGGGGGGCGGGGGCGGGGGGGTCACTCCCCATCCGGGATGCCACGTACAGGGCAGGGCCTGTGTTTGGGGGCAGGTTCCTACATGACCCAGCCGCGCTGATCCCCGGGGGAGATCCCCAGACCCCCATCACTGGGGCGGGGCGGGGGGGGGGCACACGGCCTGGGATCAGTGCAGCTCCCGTGGGGGCAACTTACCAGAGACGCGCAGAACCACCCTGATGGAGCGGACAGGGTTAGTACCGGTACGGCTCTGTATCAGCACCGTGTAGTTCCCGGTGTCGCTGAGCGTTAACCCCGCGATGTGCAGGGTGCAGCCCGGCCCCGCTGTCTCCCGCCCCGTGTGGGCTGGGCCAGGGATCTGATCAGGGGCAGGAGGTGGGTAGTAGGTGAGGATCCGGCTGCTTTCATGAGTGGTTGCTGATCGGTACCAGCTGCAGACCAGCACGTCCTGTGGCAGATTCTGCGGGGCCAGGCTGACGTCCCCTCCCACCTCGGGGCTCCGCGGGGTGAGGACGATGGGCACTGTGGTCTGGGCCGGCACCGGCTGGAGGCAGGAGCCCAGGACAGAGGCTGCGGGGGAAGGAAAGTCTCAGTTGGGCAGCGAGAGGCCGGGGTGTGGGGGGTCAGTCGGGGCCCCCTTCCTATCCCTGTTCTGACCCTTCCCGCAGGCTCCCACACCACCCCTGGCTGCTGCGGCCTGGTGAGGTTCCTCCAGAGGGGATCTAGGAACTGAAAGTGAAAAAGCCTCCGGCCTGCCAGGCCCATTAGCACAACAGTGAAACTGCTGACAAGGCCGGCTCCAGGCACCAGCGGAGCAAGCAGGTACCTGGGGCGGCACGTCCGGGTCTTCGGCGGCAATTCGGCAGCGGGTCCCTCAGTCCCTCTGGGAGCAAAGGACCCGCCGCCGAATTGCCGCCGAAGAATCGTGATCGCGGCATTTTTTTTTTTCCTCCTGCTTGGGGCGGCAAAAACCCTGGAGCCGGCCCTGACTGCTAAAGAGCCATTGAGGGGTAACGAAGCCATTTCACAGGCATTTGCCGACCCCCAGGGATACACTGACAGGTTCTGAATTTACTGACAAAACCAGCTGTGCGTCACTGTCATAGTTACTCCGAACATGTCACTCTGCAGGACCTGAGTTTAATTTGCTTTAAAGATATTTCATTCGTGTGTTGCAGAAGATTATAAATTCACATCTCTAAAAAATCCTTGCAGAGATTTTTAGATGCACAATCTGAGTATTCGTCTTTAGCCTTAAACGCTTGGATCTTCAGACATTCAGTTTTCCTAATAAAGCCTTCAAAAGACCCTCCCCCCTTTTCTAAAATACACAGGCAAGCCCGGGCTGCCGTCGGGCATATGGGCACCGGTTTAATAATACTGCACAGGGGCCCATAAATCCTAAGGACGGCCCGGCCTGGGCCGGTCCCTGCCCGGCCTTCCAGAGCTCGGCCTCCGACTGGGGGAACCTGCCCCGGGCCCCTGGGGAACGGGACCCCCAGGCTGGGGCTGCACCAGGGACACAGACAGCGACGTCAAGCTGGCGACAGAATCGTCCCAAACACCTTCCCCCTGAACCCCAGCCTGGGCACGGTGTGTGTGTGTATGTGTGTGTGTATTGACCTGTGTGTGTGCATTCTCTGTGTGTACGCACAGCGGTATCTCTGCAGCTGTGTGTATCAGTGTGTGTGTGAGCACAACTGTGTCAGTGCAGCTTACGTGTGTGTCTGTGTCCGGGCGTGTCTCTGTGTGGGTGTCACATGTCTGCATGTGTCCCTGTGCACACGCGTGTGTCTAGCGTCTCTGTGCCATGGCAGGGGTGCGGGTCTCTGTGTGGGTGTCACGTGTCTGTGTGTGTCCCTGTGCACACGCGTGTGTCTAGCGTCTCTGTGCTATGGTGCGGGGTGCGGGTCTCTGTGTGGGTGTCATGTGTCTGCATGTCGTCACATGTCCCTGTGCACACGCGTGTGTCTAGCGTCTCTGTGCCGGGGGGGGGGGGGGTGCGGGGCTCTGGGGACCCAGCTCTGGCTGTCACTCCCCAGTCGCAGAGCAGAGGGCGGGGTGGGGGCAGGAGCTGCCGATGGCCCCGTAGAGACGAGTTTTTTCCCCAAAGCTGCTGGGGGATTCAAACACATGAACTCCCCCCCGAAAGGTCTGAGACCCCTGGACACAGGGCGGGTCAGAGCGAGGGTGTCACGGAGTGTGGGGGGACACAAGGCCCTGCACCCCCGGCTTCCTGCGATTCACCATGACTCTCAGCCAGCCAGTAAAGCAGAAGGTTTATTTAGACGACAGGAACACAGTCCAAGACAGGTCTTGCAGGCGCAGACAACAGGACCCCCTCAGTTAGGTCCATCTTGGGGTCCCCGGGCACCCCAGCCCCCTTGGGAGGTCAGAGCCTCGTCTGCCTCCCGGCCATATCACCAGCCAGCTCCTGAAACTCCCCCTTCAGCGACCCCTCCCACAGCCTTTGTTCAGTCTCCCGGGCAAAGGTGTCACCTGGCCTCTAACCTCTTCCTGGGTTCTCATGTTACATGCTCAGGTAGCTTCCCTCCAGGCCAGTCTCCCATCCCCCAATGCAGACCATCCTAGCCACAGTCCCCTGCCTTCCCAGCCAACACCCCCCACTCAGCATTCAAAGACCACATTAAGAACAGTCCCAGTTCGTCACAGAGGGACACAAGGGGGCTGGTGCCCCCATCCCACAGTGATGGGACAAACGAAGATGAGCCGGAAATCAGCAAGAGCGAGAAAGGTCCCTGATATGGGTTGGGGTCTGTGCAGCATGACACAATGGGCCCCCCCCATCTATGGTCCGATCCAACCCTCAATCCCGACCCACAGCCCCCTGCTCTCCTAGCCCTGGTCTCCCCCGCCCCCCAGCTCTGCCAGAGCCCCTCACTCCCGACCCGCAGCCCCTCTACCTTCGTTTCTGCTCTTCTCTATTGGATGAATTTGTGTCCCGGACACCTGGGTTCCCTGGTCTGACCCCCCCCCCCTCACCTGCCAAGAGAATCCCGCTCCAGGGGCCGCCCGGCCTGTTGGGGGTTTGCCCCATTGTCCTTTGCTGCACCAGGACCTGCCTTGAACTGGGCAGGGTGGCATCTGCACTGGGACCAGGACCCACAGGCAGGGCAGCCCCACGGGCCCCTCCCGGCTCAGACTTCCCTTCCCAGCTGCAACCGCCCACTTCCCCTTCGGCCGCTGTGGCGGGAGGGTGATTCGCTGGGGATGCGGGAGGGGGTGAAGACTCCAGCTGGGGGTGCGGGTTCTGGAAGGGGCCAGAAATGAGGCTTCAGGGTGTGGGAGGGGGCTACGGGCTGGAGCAGGGGGTTGGGGTGCAGGAGGGGGTGTCGGGTGCGGGCTCCGGGA